GATGACAGCCAGTTTGGTACTACATACAGTATAAATAGATTTTAAAAATGACAATTCTCCTTGTAATTGATGTTTAAGGTTTAGCCTGTAGTTGTTCCTTTAACAGGAGTTAAAGGGGTTATATTCATGATGGCGCAATATCTAATAAAAATCAGAATCTGTTTACCTCTGCACCTGTACAGTATGTAAGGGCTTTATATGTGAGGACACACATTTTCTTCAAATTTACAACTTTTCTTATTCTCTCATTTGTGACATTTTTGTTGCCGTGGAAATAAAACTCCAGATAGAGGGTTGGGGACAATTCTAGTGATCAAAAAACACAACACAATTTTGCTGCCATGTTTATAAACTACTGCAACAAAATAATTGAATGATTATTACATCATGCTCCTATTTTGAAGAAGGCGACGTGCAGGGATCCAATATTTTTGGATTTTTTTTTAGAACATATGAGCAGACTAACTTTACTGCAGTTGAACTAGTTTTTTCACAGAAACAATTTTTAAACATAATCAATAAAAGTCACTTTTTCATGGAGGGGAGGGAGCTCTGAAATTCAGGTAATGATCATCACAGAAGGAAGATTTTACAGTTCTATAAACAACCAGTGATTCCATTTTACTTTTATACCAGACCACATTGGTGGACGACACACTGCTGCTATGGCACTGGCACTGTCCATTAGTACTGGGCACACTACTGAAATGTATTAAGTAACACTGGCCTGGCTCATCCCAATGACAATGTCACTTTAAAGATACTTAACCCCTGCCGCTCCATTGAGTCTTTTTTGTTTATTAACTACTTCAAATCTGTTAGCCAAGATGCCCAGTGTTTGTCATTTCAATAAATTATTTTTAAATACTGAAACTGTTTTACCATAAGAGAGCAAAAATAAATTGAACGAGACTTTAACCCCTTAAGGACCAAACTTCTGGAATAAAAGGGAATCATGACATGTCACACATGTCATGTGTCCTTAAGGGGTTAAGTGGGGGTGGCAAAACATTATTAACCCTTTTATTTCACCATTCCTGTACTGGAATGAACATTAACCCTTTCTAGGACAGAGACCACATTCCTCAACCTAAATCCATGGAGAAAGCATGAATAAACGCACATTTGTACAGCAATGAAGTAGTTAAGTGAAAAAAATTTAGCCCCTTAGCTGCCAGATTCTCTACAGAGGACAACATATACAAATGTGTTGTTTAACCTTTTCAAGGGGGCAAATACAGAGGTAACCTAGACTGAAAACACTTTTCTGTCACTTTAAGGGACAGGAAAAAAAAAGTTACTCTTTTCATTAGAACACACAAACAAGCTACATAACATGCATGGGAAAGAGGTGGGTAAGTTCTTTCAGTGCCAGGCAAGTGCCCTGCATATTTTCCTGGGCACTTCTTCTACTGGTCAGCACATGAAAAGAGCTGCCCTGCTGTATCCCTGTATCAACTTTTAATGACTTCATTTCCTGCCTATAAATTCTTCACCCAGCAGGGCAGCACTTTTCCTGAGCTGTGACCACCAGTGTGTGTGTGTGTGTGAGGGGCTCTGATTGTGGATCTGGCATTCCTGGGGCCCAGCTTGGCACAGAGTACATTAAAGGGGCAGTGTATCAGAATATACTCACAGCAGGCTGGCATTAGTTGGGGCACTAACCGCTTGCAGCAGCCCCAGGGCAGAGCAGTTCACCAGGCAGGAGCCAGGGTCACACGTGCAGTTGTCCGGGCAGGGCTGGCACCATCCAGAGGCTGCCCCCGATCCGAGCCCCAGAAGGAGCCCAGCAGAGAGAAGGAAGAGGGGGCAGAGCACAGGGGGGGAGGCGCCATCTTTTCCCTGGGTTGCAGCCTGGCCATTTCCAAAATGCATAGCTCACTCACATTGCATGGGATCCCCGGCTGCCCTCCACAGCGTGCAAACAGCGGAGAAACCCCCAGATAAGCGGACCCCAGCAGGCGGCCTCTCCCAGCTCTCAGCTGCCGCAGGGCTGGCTCATCCTCCCGGGGAGCTGTCTGAGCGAGCTCTGTCTGTCCTGCGGGGAGGGAGCGTGCACTGCCGACTGCGGGCACTGGGGGGCGCCGGAGAGACAAGGAAAATACTCCTATAGGATGAGAGCACTGACTGGCAGCTTGGCACCAATATCACATGGGCAGCACAGGAAAAGGGCTGCCCTGCTCTATGCAGATTTCTAAAGGAGGGGGTGGGGAGGGGGGATCTAGGAAATCATCAAGACTTGCTATGGGTTGGATATCCCTTGCTGCAGCAGAATACTATTATTATTATTATTATTATTATTATTATTATTATTATTGCACCAAAATATTCCATATTATTCTATTTTATTATTTATTATTATAGCACCAACATATTCTGTATTATTATTAATTATTGCACCAAAATATTCAATATTAATTTGTATTATTATAGCACCAACAAATTCTGTATTATTATTATTATTATTATTATTATTATTATTATTATTATTATTATCGCCCCACCAACGTATTCTGCAACACTTTATAATGATATACTATGGCTGTATTGCATCTTCTTTCTTTATAACAATGATTATTGCAACAATCCTCTCTAGGCTGTAAGCTGGTTTGAGCAGAGTCCTCTTCTAGCTATTGTTCCTCTGTCATTTTGTAATTGTCTCATTTATTGTTAAATTTCCCCCTTTCTCAATATTGTAAAGCGCTGCGCAATAAGTTGGCGCTATATAAATACTAAAAAAAAATACAACAAACAACTAGTATCAGCGCTAAGATAATATTCCCCTTCAAATGGTTCTGGGGAAAAATATACAACAAAATAAATTAAAATAGTGAGAGTCCCAAAAGCAATAATAACGGTAGAAAGGAAATATCCAAAGTAGAGGGGGTACAGTATTGATTGCACAGTGTTCTGTATTAGCACTTGTAATTCCTGTAACCAGTCCAATGAAAACTATGTATCCACCTTTGAAATAGGAAAAACACAGATATAGTGTAGCACTGTTTTATTAGTTAACCCCCCTATGTAATCCCTTTGTGGAACTCTTACACAGATAATGGTGGTGCTTATTTGTAAGGACCACAAACAAGCATTTGGTGCTGTACAGTATGATAATCTTTAGAGGGTTACCACTCCGCTGGTATAAGACTGCAAGCTTCTCCGGTGCTCTGGAGCCGACACAGACCTCTTACACTTCAGAAGGACCCGACTTGAAGTATCGCTGTACTTGCTTCAAAGCCTTTACATTTGAAATGCTGCCAACCACGATCTACGCATTTCGCAAGTAAAATCGGACCTTCTCAAGATAGGTTGCCGCGGCGGATCTCTTAATGGCGCTGCTTCTCCGAATCCCAGCCGAAAAAGCCCCCAGATTGTAAAACTGGATATTTTTCAGGTCTGCCATGGACTTGCCACCAAATTTCTGCTTTCCGCTTATCTCTCAGATCTTTTTCACAGTATATTTTCCTTAGGCTTAACTGCCCCCTTTCTCCCACCTGTTAGACTACTACTGATAATAATAATAAGTGTGTATATATATAAATACACGCATACATATGAGGAGAACATGGATTTCATAGTATTGTGGACTGAATGATTTTTTTATAAATGTTATTTTAAAAACAGCACTTTTCAGAATGCAGCATGACGTCTGTTTCTTATTTTCTCCAATAAAGGGCGTCCCTAGAAAACGTGTTAATAAAACGGAGGTTCATTCACTAAGCAACAAAGGATTTAGTCATTAACCTCAAAATTCCAGAGAATTGGGAAATGGGAAAATCTAGGCTGAAATCTCTGATTTAAAAATAATTAAGATACAAGAGTTGTTAATATGCTGAGTTTAGTGCATTACTGTGGGAAGTATTGTGAATTGAAAAGTGAATTTCCAAATTTAGGCAACAATAGATGATTTGGAGATATTTCCCAGCTACAGTAACGGCTTCTCTAGTTTTCCTTAGCCTTCTCTAGGCTTCTCTAGTAACCTAAATGTTGAAATTCAATTCTATTCGCTGTAATTTGGTGTTTTTTTCGAATGATCCCCAGCTGTAGTTTGGTGTTTTTTCAAATGATCTCCAGCTGTAATTTGGTGTTTTTTCGAATGATCCCCATCTGTAATTTAGTGTTTTTTCGAATGATCCCCAACTGTAATTTGGTGGGGGTTTTTTGTTTTGTTTTTGTCAATCTCTTTTTATTATTTTTCTTATCAATGCTTGTTTGGCAAGACAATAAACAGTAGTATATCATATACATCGATGCAAAGTATAACATCAGAAAACTGCTTCTCTCCCACCTTATTTGATTAATATTTCCTGTCCTAAGGTGTCTAATACCCCACCTCCTATAGACTGTAAGCTTGTTTGAGCAGGGTCCTCTCCAACCTATCGTTCCTGTAAGTTTTCTTGTAATTGTCCTATTTATAGTTAAATCCCACCTCTCATAATATTGTAAAGCGCTACAGAATCTGTTGGCGCTATATAAATGGCGATAATAATAATAACATTCAAATTTGGTGGGGTTTTTTTAACGATCCCCAGCTGTAATTTAGAGATCCTGATAATGAAATGAAATGTGTTTTTTGTTTTTTAAGGGACAGAACACGTTGGTTTTTTTTTTAGACGCACTTGTCTGCCCCAAACCAGCCACATTAGAATGTCCTTACTATAGAAAAAAAAGTATACATAGCATTAATATTATTTTAAGTTAAAACCAGGTATTTCGTTTTTATTGTTGTTTGAATAGTGACAAAGGGATCACGTGACATACAATGAATTCTCATAAAACAAGTTTAACTTACAGAAATCGGAGGTGGCGAGGATGCTGCACACATGGCTTGCAATCTATATTTAGTAATTTCCCAGAAACGTTTATTGTAAAAAAATGTTGATTTTAGGAATTTTGTGGCTATCTCTCAATGATTGCTACACACTGAACGGACATCTACCATTAGGCAAGACCAGATTTTAGACAAGACCTATAATAAAATACTTGAACGTGCCAGCGGAAGGCATTCTGGCTATTCGTTACCATGGTAGCACAAAATAAATAAAACTAGTTGTTTTTTTTTTGCAGCAATAGCCCTTCTTGTACTGGGCGTTGTTTGTCTGTATGTGGCTGTCTGGAGAGGAAGGTAATAGGAGAGAATGCAGTGAGTCTGACTTTGAGGTAAAATTAAATCTGAGAACAGCTTTTGGGACTGTACACAATCAATAGCAGGCTGACTCCCTACACTGCCTGTCTCCTATTGGTCCTTGCCAAGGTTCTAATGTAGAATTTTGGAATGCAGCTGTTATGTAAATATAACTTCAAAAAAAAAAAATTTGCTCCAATTAATTAAAGTTTTTTTAAAAGAAGTCTAAAATGAATCTCCTTTCTTCTTTGAATATTCCAACTGAATTTTGTGCCTTCACAATTATGTCTCACTCATAAAAAGAACACTATAGCATTAGGAATACAAATCTGTGTTCCTATTACTATTGTGTCCCTGTCCCTAGATCTATAAGCATTTGTACACTGAGGGCACTGAGGGTAAATAAAAGTACGTTTCCACAAGTGGGCCTTATCTACTAAGCTGCGCACTCTGTTACCTCTTGTGTTTGCTGTTACAGTGTGCTGCTGATGGACCATAGCAGCCTTTTAAACTTTTTCTGTACTAGGTGAATTGTGTTTATATATTGTTTTGGCACTGTAGTGGCCACGCTTCCTTTTTAGTCGTCTACTAGATCTAGGTCCCTTCCAAACTTGCAGTAAAAATGTTAAATAAAGAAGGCTTTTTAAAAAAAATGTTAGTTTTTTTTTTTTTTTACTCAACTCTGTACTTCCCACAACACGGAGAAGACATGGCCTCCTTCACAATGGTCTACTCTAATCAGATGTTGCAGAACTACAACTCCCACGATGCTTTGCATGCCTTTGCATATCCTTAGAATGACAGAGTATCATGGAAGTTTTAGTTAGAAATCTGGGGATCTCCCTTTTTAGCACCCCTGAACTACTCCTATAGATTTCCATGTCAAGTTTTACTGGGTCAGTGTACCACAAGCACCTCTAGAACGCTGTTATGTAACTAGTTTTACATTGTAGAGTTAAAAGGACAGGGCCACTGCACCCAGACAACTTTACTTGGGGTAATTACAAAATGGACAAAGACACCATAATACCAGTTACATTTTTATATTCAAGATATCAGAGGTATTCACTAAAGTGTGAATTGTTGGGAACTAAAAGTGAATTCAAAGGCAAAAGGAATCCAATCTGCAAGTAAGTCAGCTATGGTACCATTTTGGCTACACTGACCTCTAATTTGAAATTCACTTTGTATACCCAACAAAGTGCTACAAAATCTGTTAAAAGTAATATTTTTTTTTTTATAAATAAAACCCTGCTTTCCAAGATTGGAGGCTCTGAATGCTTGTCTAAATTCTGCTTCTCATAATTTAGTCAGTCGGACCCATAAAGCACTTTAGCTTGCTGAAAAGTTTATATGTGAAGAACGTGTCCTTTTTAAAAATAAATTTATACAAAGTACAGGTTTCAATAGAAATTGGCACTTTTATAAATTAACCTGGTTACCAGTGGCGTACTAAGGGGGGGGCGGAGGGGCGGTCCGCCCCGGGTACCAGCAGGGTGGGGGGTGCCTTGGGAGGGGGCGCCGCCAGGAGTGCCGCCCCCACTCATGCTGCAGCCGCCTGAGCGCTCCGCAGAGAGCCTCAGGCGGCTGCAGCTTTGCCCGCCCGGGCGCAGCCTGAGGAGAGGGGCTGACAGGAGGGAAGCGCTCAGCGCTCCCTCCTGTCACTCCCTCTCTGTAGCATGGCCGAGCCCTCTATGGTCCGCGGGTACAGGGAGCATCTGTCTCCTGTACCCGGCTGGACTAACAGGAAGTGCACACTCAGTGTGCACTTCCTGTTAATCCGGCCGGGTACAGGAAACAAAAGCTCCCTGTACCCGCGGACCAATAGAGGGCTCGGCCACACTACAACTGAGGTAGGGGGTGGGGGAGAATAAGGAGATGGGGGAGAATAAGGGGAGATGGGGGAGAATAAGGAGAGATGGGGGGAGAATAAGGAGAGATGGGGAGAATAAGGAGAGGGTGGTAGGGGAATAGGAGAGATTGGGAGGGATGAGGAGAGAGGTGGGAGGGGGATAAGGAGAGATTGGGGGGATAAGGAGAGATGGGGATGAGATGGGGAGATAAGGAGAGATTGGGAGGGGAAAGTGGGAGGGGATAAAGAAAGATTGGGAGAGGGGGATAAAGAAAGAAATTGGGAGGGGAAGAGAAGGAAATTGGAGGGGGAGAGAGAAGGAAATTTGGGGGAGAGATTGACATTCATCACACAGAAAAACACACAATGCATTACACACACTGCCTTACACACACACAGACACAGATACACAAGCAATGCAGCCGTTACACACAATGCATCCCTTACACACAGAAACACACAATGCATTCATTACACACACTCAATGCATTCCTTACACACATATCAGGACATCCCCTACACACTCCACCCCTTGTGAACAAGCTCATTGGTGGAACATAAAGGTGGACCCTGGGACCCAGACCTTGAGCTGTGTAAAGGGCCTCCAAAAAATGGAGCTGCTTCCCGTTCTCCCAGAACATTGATTTTTGTGACCACAGTTACAAACCGCCTCCAGAGAGCCTGTTCTACACCAGACCAGTGGAGCCAGACTGCAGCTAGAGCCCATCATCATCCTCATCTGGTTGTAAGTAGGCAATCTAGTATATTATTCGTGGCACTAATCTCTAATTTACCTGTAGCCCGTGAAGTTACACAGGCTGCATTATCTGAAATGCCTAGTAGATGGCACATGGACTCAGTATGCTGTTAATAAAACATTGAGCTTTGATCACATGACTTGCTGAAATCAAGAGAGGAGTGTGGCATCATTGCAGGGCCTGTCAGGACTTCCTGCACAGCTCTGAGGGAGGAGGATTCTAAGAGTGACCACATGCTGAGCCAGAGAGAGGACATGTGAGAGACTGTAGCACAGAGATAGGACCTGGCTGAGAGAACTTGTTTCACCCAAGATCACACCAGCTGAGAGAGAGGGACCTGCAGGAAAGGAAAGAAGACAAGCACTGAGTCCAGACGTCTGGCGAATCCAGTGAGAGGAGACTGCTGCTGACTGACTGGTTAATCGTGTTGTGAGGGTAAGCCAAGCCTCTCCCTGTATCGCCACAGGGCACCTGTCTCCTCACTCACAGTAAAGACTCTGAGGTCCCGTGACGGACATTACACATCTGAGGCTGCTTCAGTGACCCTGTGAAGCAGGACTTATAAGGGGCCCCAACTCTCCTATGTGCACCAACGGCCGCTAGGGCGAAGATAAGGGGGTGGGGCGCAGGTGTGCTGGTGGGTGAGTGAGGAAAATCCCCATTTGCATTGTTATCTGTGTTACTCTATTGTATTTTCCTATGTATGTTGGTTCAATTGCTACTTCCCATATAAAGTTAGTCCCAGTTAGACTGTGTCAGTCTCATTGCACCAAGTATGTTCCCAGTGGGACCCCACATCCCTACCCCGGATGCTCCACTGGGTGGAGGCACTGCCGCAGACATGTACCCCAGCTCCCAGATAGCGGAGGCTCAGGATCCGCCTGTCAGGCATAGTGAGTTAACTAGGTTTGGGGACCCCAAAGACACTAGGGGGCACCCCCAAAACCCCGTTACAGATGGAGGCACTGCTGAGATGTATTGGGGTACAACCAGTGAAAATAGGTTAAGTCCTCAGGCCACTCCCTCCTTTGTGAAACAGTGGGCCCAGCAAAGAAATGTACCATTACAGCAAGCTGTGATGTTATGCAAAGTCCCATCCTGCTGTGAGATGAATCACGTCATCTTGTGTATAGAAATTCGACTGGGAATAGAAATGGCGACCATCAGAGATATCCTGCAGGATTCTGAAGGCCAAACTTACATGTTAATATATTGTCATACGGGCTTGGGAGACCATGAGATGCCTACCAACATTCATTTACATGGAGCCCCGGATGGAGGATGCTCCTTAGTGTACGCTCTCCTTGATAAGAAAGAAAGGGTCTCACTGCAACAACCCTTTAAATTAGAACGGAAAGATTATGTCACAGAAAATTATTCTAAGCTCCTGACCCCCATCTCCGGAAAGGCCGGAGCCATTCCTAAACAAGCTGCCCATCCTCCTAGAGGACAGGGGATGATTACTCCTAAAGCAGAATCTCACCCATCTACAGCATTACTGAAACCAGACAACCCTGAAGTACACACCCTGCCTACAGGAGGTAGTGATGTATCGGACATACTACAGAAACTCTCAGAAGCCATAGTGACGGCAAACCACACCCATAGTTACCGCAAACTAAAGGTGTTTTCTGGGACTCAGCCTGTTCCTGCAGGAGAAGAGCCTTTTGAGGTCTGGAAGGATAATGCTATGCAGTTGTTGGAGGAATGGTCTTGTACGGATACCATAAAGAAACAGCGGTTGGTGGAGAGTCTTCGTTTTCCCGCTACAGACATGATAAGACTGTACAAGGGAGTAAATGGGCAAGCTACTGCACACGACTATCTACAAGTCTTACAGGATGCTTATGGGAAATCAGAAGATTTGGATGATCTGTTGGTTAAGTTCCTAGCCACTAAGCAGAAGGAGCACGAAAAAGCCACTGACTATATCAACCGGTTACAGCTATCGCTTGGAAAGTTATTCCATAAAGGAGCAGTCACTGCCTCTGAGTTGGATGCTCGGCTATCTAAGCAAATTCAGAGAGGTGGTTTGACCAGTAATCCAGTTATGATTCTGCTGAGAGCCAAGTTGGATGATAAAGTTCTGCCTTATTCCACATTAATAAATACAGCCAGGAGATTGGAAGACCAGATGTGTCCACCCCTACAGAAGGAGAAAGAGAATACAGAACTGTCAGCTCTTAGGAAGAAGGTGGCTGAATTGGAGCTTTTATGCAAATCACCACCAGAGAGAGCAGATCTTCCCCCTGGAAGTGGGGGGCAACACAGGAAGACTCAGAAAAAGCTGTTTCCTGAGGATTCACCCCGCCGAGGGAACTGCTTTAAATGTGGAAAGTCAGGGCATTTTCAGCGGGAGTGCCCTGCGGATTCCATGGAGGTGGATGTGGGGGTGCTGGCAACCGAGCTCGGGGAGACTCAAATGACCAGGTCTTACAAGCGAAGGAAGACCCGGCCTACATATAGTCTATCTGTAGGGGCCA